GACCTGCAGTGTGAACATAGCCTAAGTTTCTTCTTCTACATACAGTATAACAAAGTTGTTAAACATCTGAGTGGCGCACTACCGCTACCACTGGTAAGAAAGTGTATTGCACCTTATTCAAAATCAATGCGCCACTGCCCCCTGCGGCCCAAAGTTAAAAACTGTTGTTCTTTTGAGGCCCTCAAGGTAGCGCTGTGGACCGCAGCCCATAGGTTAAGAATCTCTACTCGTGATCTTCTCTTAAACGTCACTGCACCTCAAACAGGAATGCCACTGTCAAGGAAATAACAGAATGGGCTCAGGAATACTTCCAGAAAGCATTGTCAGTGAACACARTCCACCGTGCCATCTGKCATTGCCAGCTGAAACTCTATAGTACAAAGAGGAAGCAAAGCAAGTTCCACAAGCTCAGACATTTGCACTGGGCCAGGGGTCTTTTAAAATGGAGTGTGGCAAAATGGAAGACTGTTCTGTGGTGAGATGAGTCACGATTTGAAGTTCTTTATGGAACACTGGGATGCAGGGGCGCCTGCAGGATTTTATTGGAGGGTACACACAAACCCATCTACCTGACCCACACAAATAGAGACCACATGGGTGCAATGCGCGTGGCACACAAAAACATCAACTTKGCAYCGCGCCAGGTCCTGACCGCAGCCACAGGAGTGYGATGCACATCTGTCTCACAGGCCCAAAGCGTGCGGACACATTAATCCTGCTTTTGACTTGTCACATTATAAAATGTCAAAGAAAGAAAAATAAAAAATCGACAAATGTTAGCTATTTAGTGGCTGCAATTTGCTACATTACCACCTTATTTCTGTCTGCATTCTTAGGGAGAGGGAGAGGGAGAGAAGGGGTGGGGGCTGAAACCCCCAGAGAGAGAGAAAGACAGAGATGCAGCATCAGATCGGTCACAATGTGCTGCAGCCCCTGCATTAAAACTATTAAATTAAATAAAAATAGGACAAGAATTTATGCAGACTGTAGTGGAGACTGTCACAATGCAGCAAAACAGACACTGAWAAGAGGGTGAGGTCAGTGAAAGGTGATATTTAGAGTTTTGTTTTGTTGGGGTTTTTTTTGAAGGGGAACAAGAAGTGGAGTGACAAGAAACCCTCAACTCAGAACACATTTTGCTCAAACTGAAAAATGTTGATGGTCTGACTGAAACCAGGTGTTTAAAGTTACCTGTGGCTGAGAGCTGCTGGGCTTCTGTGGGAGAGGTGTAGCTGCGGAGGTGAAGGCACAGAAAAGCTTTGTCCGCTGGAGGAGAGATTTCCTGGCTCAGGTGCTGTCACGAGGCAAAGCGACGGCACTTTATTTCTACTCTTTCGTAAACATTTCCACAAGATTTAACTGTTTCAAAGTCCGCTAACCCATGTTTAGTTAGCTTCACCGCACAGTCAAAGCGCCAGGGCAGCTGCAAAATAAACAAAATAAACTAACCAATTAGGCCTACTTTAGTTTCGGACGCATGCGCCCACCCAAAGAGACGCACACAGATGAATGTACAGGAAGTTCTGACAAAAGACAATGTCTTATTTTATTTTGTCCACAGTTTTTGTAATAATAAAGAGTGAAAAATCTTTTAAAAGTCGAATGCTTTATAAAACTATTTTTTAACTCAAAGGAAAATCTCAAGGGATGCACAGTGCGTACAGCCGTACACCTGCAGACGCCACTGCTGGGAAGCCACGCCGTCCGGACCAAAGAGGACAAGGATAACCCAAGTTATCAACGCTCCGTTCAGAAGCCTGCATCACTGATGGTCTGGGGTTGCATGAGAGCTTGTGGCATGGGCAGCTTGCATATCTGGAAAGGCACCATTAATGTAGAGAACTATGTTCAGGTTCTAGAACAACATATGCTCCCATCTAGATGTCACCTCTTTCAGGGAAGATCCGGCATTTTTCAACAAGATGATGCCAGGCCACATTCTGCAGCAATCACAACATCATGGCTATGTAGGAGAAGGATCCGGATACTGAAATGTGCAGCCTGCAGTCCAGGAGTCGGATTTATAAAACTGGCGTACGCACAATTTGAGCCCAGAAACTTGCGTACGCCACTTTTTACGCTAAGGTTGTGATTTATAAAATCCAAACTTGACGTGAAAATGTGCGGTGCCTCACGCCAGCTTTGACCCATGCGTACGCTCATTTTTGAGACGTGAAACTGCGACACAGATGGTGAAGTGAGGAATTAGAGCCACACTGTGTAATGATCACTGTCAGATATTTAATTTACCTTCAGAATC